GGAGTATTACCTGGATGAGTGCTACGCTGACTGCAAGGAGGAAATTTGTGCAAATAATTGCTTCCTGGTTAAAAGTGTTTGCAGTCTGGCCCTCAAATCTTAATGACCTAAAAACATACACTGAGGTAAATCTGGAATTAGCCTGTGCTAGTCAAAAGCATTGCCTCCAACAGCAAAATTTGGTGCTCTAATTTTGGTTGTGAATCAACACTTTCCTATCTCAGTATATTGTACTGTAAGTCAAGTCTGTAGAAGGTGCTCTAGTTTTCAAAACCAGCAGCCCACAAAAGATCTTGTGAGGGTTTTATTAAAACAGTTTCTAAACTAGTTTAGTTAAATCAGCATCATTGTCCTGTGAGGACAAGATCTTACGGGAATTAATTTCACAGATTGTGAAGCAGCAGAGCCAGAAAACCCCCAGGATGTTGCAGGCTGGAAGGCTATTTAAATGGTAATAAACTTCAGGGGAAAACAAAAAGTGGTCACTGATTACACTCACCAGGAGAGGGGCTGTTCTTCACGAAGATGCCAGGCAACACAGAGGCCTTCTGCTTACTCACATAAATCACTTGGGTCTGAGCAAACAAGACCGGTCCTAACCCCCATGAGGAGGCAGAAACCTCTCTCAGGTGGGGTGGGAGGAGAGAACACCAGCAACCAACAAGCCCTGGGAGAGGGAGGCGCAGAGGGGGGCAGGTTGCGACTGCTGCCCCTGGGGTCTGCCTGCGTTGGTGTCACATTCAAGTGAAGCCACATCCTAAAACAGCCAGCTGACTCACCATCACTGTGCACCTTTCCTTAAGTTGTCTTAATTTTCAGGAAGGCATCTCCTCCACCCTATGCATAGGGTGGCATGCTAAACCCAGTCAGGTGAAACAACTTTATTTTAGCACACCAAACTATTGCTGCTGCCTCCTGGGAAGTTGTGATGCTGGCGATTTATGGACCATACTGTTCCCCCTGAAGAAGAAGCCTAGAAGGAAGGCATTTTTTGGTACCACAGGTTGTCACATTAAAATAGAGGTGTGACAGAAATGCATGCTTGGTCTGCTCATGTGCTGCTGTTGCTCTAGTACTGCCCCTCTATTACTTCTTTCCAGTTGGTTTTGCTAAATTCAAAAGAAATTGACTGATGTTCCAAACAAGAGAAGCATTTTAATATCTAATTAACTCTGAGCACATGTCACGTACTGTCAAATTCAGGGGGACACGTTATGCTCTTAAAATTAAGCACGAGCTTAGGCATCTTGCTGGACAGAGGTCTGAAGGAAAACAATTACAAATCTTTCCTTGAAAACCCTCCAGCTCCACTTCTCTCCACATACATTGTCATTAGCGAGTGAAGTGGGGAGGTATATGGCCTTAGCTATGTAAGACAGACACACAGATTGTGATTCAACATGTAATTTGGCCTCTTCCACAATGCCAGTTTGGCGCCTCTGCTGGAGAAGTTACGTTGTGGAGTGGGAAAATAAACAATCCTGCCAATTGTTAGTGCAAAAAAGCAAAACAGGAGCTGCTTATCAGAGACTCACATTTTGAGAGGAAAAAGTCACTGAATCCTGAGGAAGGAAGGATTCTCTGGAGAGTTTCAAGCACTCTTCTGACAACCTCATCCTGCAGGAGCTGGGGCAGGGAGCTGGGCCCCTTCCTATTGCGAAAACTGAGTACAGACAACTGGAAATGAATGTAACAAGAGGAGCCCCCAGACTGCAGGGGTGCTCTAAGGCAGTAATAAAAAAAATCGCAGTCCAAACTGTTAAAAGTGATTGGCACAGACAGCTATCTATCAACTGTGATTTTAGAAGCAGTAGGAATGACTCAAAGACCAGAGAACTGAAGCTCAGAAGTGTTAAAAGGAAGGTTTTTCCTTGGCCCACAGTCAGGCTGGCAGCTGTCTGTGAAGTTCAGATCTCAGCTTTGCCCAAGTTTGCAACTGTTTAGATGTGCATGTCTCAGGCCATGAAGAGTCCGGTTTACCCTCTCAGCTTCAAGAGAATTTTGACTTTGTCTCAACTTGGAGCAGGATCAGCTTTCTAGAAGGACAGAGAAAGAATTGTGCTTGTTCTGGGCGCAGTTAGCCAAGATCTGAACAGCTACGTGATTTTCTTTTTAACCATTTGAAATCATCGTTAATCCAAGCATCTCCAAGGACTTCCCAAACAGCGTGAAGTTAACTCTACCTGTTCTGCTCTTTGGCCTGCCTTCCTAATGCAGTACAGTGCATTCAATAATAACGTGCAACATGTTAGCAGATCCAAACAAGCTTCCCAAAACAGCTGCAGGGCCAAATTATATTTTGGGTAATCTAGGACCATGTCTCTGAGTCTAGCTCCTGTCACCGCATGAAGAGACTAACATCTCAGCTTTCATGTGTGCTTCTAGCTCTTGTACTGGTCTATCAGAACAAACTGAACATAATCGCATCTGCTTGCATATACAGTTGATGCATGTTTTGCCTGCACTGAGCTAACACTCACCAATGCAGAACTCTTGTGGGACCTCCACTGGTAACGATGTGCCATCACAGCTCTCAAGTAGCTTTGGGAGCAGATTCTCTCTATCCTCCCATATTATCTTCTGCTTGGGAGAGAAGTTAGCCCTTCAAAAGGAACACAACCATGATTTGGCTCCTACATGTGAAGGGAGATAGGATAAATAACACAGTAGCAGAAAGATGATCTGAAATTGCTTTAAGGGTGTCCTGATCAGTCGTGTTAACCACTGAGAAGCGGAATGCTGTTCAGCAGCCAGCACAAGGCAGGCTTTCTGCTACTTTCTCTCTGCTGCATCAAACTGAGCATATTTGTAGCAGAGAATTTAGTCCAGACTGCAGTCCTGTAGCTGAGAACTATACTATAGGGCATGGTGAGACTGTCAAAGTTGCACTACCAAAGTTACCTCAATAATTCAAGAGTTAATAACCTTCTCTGTGTCTGAGATGGCCCGAGCAGATTCTGACCTATTACTCTAGTTAGGGTCCTTTTTAATTACATATGACATAAATCTATTTTTACGCATATACATATGTGCGTGTGTATCAATGTATATTAGAACACATGATCCTCTAGGGAAAAAGGATGTGTCTGCAGCTACATTGATAAAGCTCCTTCCAGCTTTGGATAGGCTAGATTCTGGATTTGACTTTCTTTAGGAAAAATAAGCTGGGAGTTTGCAGAACTGCTAATATTTTTAATTAAAAAACAACTCAATTAAAATACAGGAGCTGTGCAGCAAAGGGGATGGAAGGAGTTTGCATGTAGTTATGAAGACAGGTGGTGGGGACCTTCTGCATACTGTGCTGCAGTGCAAAGCTGCATTATGAGGGTGAGATTGGTTCACTTCTCATGTGGAACTTCAGTCCAATATGGAAGTAAAAGGGCAACAAGAGGTGACACAGGGTTGACTATGAGCAGTCATTAAGGTGAACATCTTCCATTTAGCTATGAAGAGTTAGCAATTACGGGAGAGCTGAACATTGGAAAAGCAGCTTTTCAAATCTCTGTGGGGACTTACAGTCCAGCAAAACGTTTCAGCAGCAGAACAAAAGGCAGATGTTGGTACATACCTTTAAAAGCACAAAGCTAAGAAGCTGAGATCCTCCACAGGATGCCTGCTAATGGTGGAGAGATATAGGAGGAAAAGAAAACATGAAGAGATTAAGGTGCAAAAATCAGAAAACACAGAAGAACAGTACTGCCAAGCAAAGAGAGTTGCAAAATGTTAACCCTAACATCCAAATTACTCAGTGTACCATCCTTATCCCACAGCGCACTACAAAAATGTCCCAGAACACATTGCAAGGCAGCACAACTTTAATGGCAACGCCTGCCCACAGCATATTAATGTTTCAAACTGACAAAACTCCACCTGGTGAGATGCCAAGTGCACTGCATATTAAGGATTTAAGTATGTACTTACTCTGGTGACAAAATCAACTCTGCAAGGTAGCAAACATTATGGCACTACAATGTTCTAGCATTGATATGGCCTCAAGCCTCTCCTCAACTCTAGAGTTGTATCTACAGTGCTGAAAAACAGATTCTTTAAACTTCACCTTAAGCCATATACCCACTTTGTACGAATGCGACTGAAGTGACATCGTTTGGGTTTTATCACTTGGCTGCCTCTTTCATCTCTCTCACAAACGTTCACTGTCCTGAAGCTCTTTGACATCACTGGAAATTCATTAATGGATTTAATAAACTTTGAACTAGGCCCCCAACATCCTCCTTCTGATCATGATGCAATAAAAACAGAAATACACTGCTAGTGTTATATGTCCAAAAGTTTTAATACATGTTCCTTGCCATTCAGAAAAGTTATTGCATTAAATTCTGATACATAAATTCATCTAAATTAAAAAAATCTTCATTTTACACATCACAATTTTGTCACAGCAGCTAAAGAAAAACAGATTTTATATGCAATTCTCTCAAAGTGAAAAAAAATACACTGGCAAAAATACAACTAGCACTTCCCCAAATCAACAAAACTGTTAATTTATTTTTCAGTAGTTCCCACAAACCCCAACTTGAACAATCTCCACAAGTGTACAGCTCAGGAAAAGAAAAGTGCCATTCCAAATTGCTGTCTGCAAATCTGAAATTTATTCAAAAATAACTTTCAGCATACGTTGACTTTATCTGATAACAAGTAACATACAAAGTGTGTTTAATTTAATTACACACCATTTTCCTTAAATCATTGTTTTCCTTTAATTAGGATTTAAATAGATTCACAAGTTACAAAATATCAATGCTACCTACCAGCAGTTTATAAAATTCAGACACCCTTGTGGATCTGTAACAGGCATGTAAACGCAACTTGGTCACCAAAATGAAAGGCCAGATTTCCTGATCCATTAAAATCAACTTCCACGTAAGCCAAATGCTCCATGGATGACGGCAGAGACAAATCAGGAAGACAGACATGCCCTAAGTAGATTGAAAAAGGGACTGTGATAAAGGTGTTACATAGCGCACGGCAGAATTATATTCTACATTTTATCCACTGATGAGAATAAGATGCGCTTCACCAGCTTGTAACAGAAGCCTGAACAGACCTCTCCTCCTATTCAATCGCATGCCAGTGCTGGGAATCAGGAATCTATAATTCAATAATTCTTGCACAAAATCCTCAAACATAACAAATAACCAGAGCCTTGAAAAGTAGTTCCACAGGTTACCCTTCTCTTGCACAGCAAAAAAAAATGATGTAAGGCTCATCTGTATTTGTTCTGTGCTCACAAGTAAAGATGCTTTCTTCTGCTGTAAAGCAAACAATAAAATATATTTTTCTTCAGGGAAAAAACCCTCCCCTTTCCCTCTCCTCCAGAATACCCAACATCACGGAGAACTCTCAATTACAATCCACTTGAAAATATTTCTTAGACTAAGTAAAGCCTGGCTGCTACCTTTGCCTACTTTGAACAGATGAGATAGAATATATTACTTCAACAGATTTCACTAGGTTCTGGCGTCAAAGACAATTTACTAGTGAAATAACACCCAGGTGGCTGTCTCTTAAAGGTAATGTCCACACAAGTACTAACTCTCGCAATCACTGTAATTTAAGATAAAAGCAATAGCTATTTCAGTGGTTTTCAATCAACTTTAGCTAAGAGCACTAAGCTACCCTCTAGAAACATCTTGCTCAGTTTTTTTTCTGTGATTTGCTAGCAAAATGCCCAAACACTGAAGAGCAAGTGAGCAGACACAGCAGGATGCTTTGTGAAATGTGACAGCTCAAAAGGCACCCAAAGAACAAGAGGATGAAAACTAGCCACTAAGGTGAAAATTAAACTGCATTCAACTAGCAGGGTGAAAAAACGGAAAAATGAAGAGGCTCCAATACAAGCAGTTACCCAGAATGCTTTACTGGTTATATCTTTTGTTTGTTCATGCAGTCATGAGGCATTCATTACCAAGATACAAATTGCAAAAGCTTTCATTTAAAGAGTTAAGAGGAATAGGATACTCAGTTACTCCAGTTAAGATCACTTATTAAGAGTCTAATACAAGGTTATTAATTGTAACATCATTTTCTCACAACTAAGAAGGTCTGTGCTAAAGTGGAAGAAGTTTAAGCAGCTAGGAAGAGGATGCTGACAGCCTTCTGAAGACAGTCTCCGTGTAAGATTTGGCTTACTTTATTTTCAGAGACATACTGAATGAGATAGCCATCATCCTTCATCCAAGCAATCAGGCATAAATGTCCCTCACCCGGCACTCAAGCCACAAAGCAGATCTGGAATAATCCAGATGTAAACCCAGTTGTAAATCTCCCAATTACAGGGCTAAAGCACACTTAACTGTGGGAGAACACTGCTATTTTAGCTTTGAAATGCATCCACATTGGACTTCTTAACCAAACACAGTCTCCATGCTTTCTGTAAAAAGCATAGCTCTTCTTAGTTATTGCTGTATTACCGGAAATAATACACATAATTTCAGGAGAGTTAGAGTGTACATTTTCAAGATTGTGTCAGTTATGAAAAGCTTTACTTCCAGACTCTTTCTCCTGTGCTGCTTCTGTACAGCAGAACTAGAATGCTGTTTCTTGTAGACACAGAGTACCTTGATTAAGACCCGCTCCCTGCCTTGCACATCTCAGGAGCATACGCGCCTCTTAACTACGGTTTCTACCAGTAGGCAACAGCCCATAATGCATTTATGACATTTCCTCAAGCAAGAGAGCATACTACACCTAATGGACTTGCCCTCAATGAATTCCACGAGAAAACAAGGAAGGGGAACACAAAGGGGGAGGGAAGAAAATTATTCTCACTTCTTCTCTGAAGGGAACAAGTGTTTCTGACAGTAGAAATTTTGTGTTCAGAAAGGTGCAACTTAAGCTGACAGGTCAGCTTATTAAAGAGAACAAGAAACCCCTTCACTCAAACGCAAATACCTATTCAAGTAAGATTTTTAATTTAGATCTGTCTCTGAAGTGAACAAAAAGTGTTTGTATGTCAGAGAAACTGAAGAGCCTGCACCACTGCCAAACAAATCAGACTGTGCAAATCCATGTTGTTTATCTGTAGTGCTGAGTCACATCTGGATGGTGGACAGGCTTAACCGATTACCACACCCTAGGAGTGTTTCAGCACTTCCCCTTCTGCAGGAACACTGCCTTAAAAAAAGAATTCATACAGTGACATAATTAGAAGTGATCTTTTCCTGCTGTATGGTGTTCATCTATTTAAGACTTTCACAAACATTTTATTTGGCCAAAAATTGTATTTTATGTTACTTCCCAAGTCACAAACAGTACATAAGCCATTGTGAAAGGACATGCTGTTTAAGGGCATGTGACTTGAATCTTAACAAAAAAAAAAAAAAAAAAAAAGGTTTTCATCACTGCAGGTTTTGATTGCAAGTTTTCAGCTTCAGGAAGGTTGCAGTTAGACTTCCAAGTTTTTCAGGGATCCAGAAAAGATTTAGTTCATATTTAATGTACAACATTTTCTGTAAGCGCTCTCACACACTGTTCATGAGAACAGTTACTTGACTTCACACCACAGAGGTGGTACTTTCTGGATTTACACGCATCAGTCTTGAAGCATTTCTCAGATCCTGTAGCTGCTTGGCTGGCTTTCCCACTCCTTCCTCAAATCTTTTTTCCACAACAGGAAGGACAGTTTCATAAAGGAAGGATGCATTCTGCCTAATGAATGCTTTCTTCTCAGGGTCCTGTTCACACCGTAAACTGTAATCAACGTGCTGCACAGCCACGAGGATGATTTCCACCAGACTCTCCAAAAGAACCATATGCAGCTCTGGAAAGTAAAGCTTTAACGCTTCCTCCAAGAAGGCCATAGTCTGCTTAGTGAAAGCTACCACAGTATAGCTAAGGTTGACCCAGCAGTCATCACCAGTGTATTGGTCAAAATTGCCTACCCCGCAGCTTCTCATCTCCTCTCTGAGTTTTCCCAGAGCCTCTGGGGTCATTAGGTTCATCCTTCTCCACATCTCTTCAGAGTTGCGATGCTTGGTGGCCTCAATGATGATATCCTTATAGCTCTGCAAAGCACCTTTGATATCCTTTACCAGAAGGGCATGAATGATGAAGGTAAGATCCAGTCCAATCTCACTGAGCTGCTTGCAGTGCTCTTTAGCTACCTTGGGTATTAATGAAAAGTGAAGTGTGTTATCAGTTTGCATTCCCCCTTTACATTTTAAAAGTTTACCAAATTTTTCATTCTCAGAAAACCGGGAACCGTTAGTTATGTTTTACATGTTTCTCCTACCCTAAGAAACTCCTTTTTAATGGGAAATCAGTAACTGAAAGACAAACCTTGCCTGTCAAAAATGCCACAGACAACTACATTAGAAACCTTTTTTTCTTCCTATTAGCAGCTGAAAGATACCATAACCTGAGAAATTAAGGACTTCTTGAAGTCCTTGAAAAAAATTAAGGAAATATAGTCCAGTACAGGCTTGGAAAACACAAGTGTTCACAGTACTCACTGTTCAGATAAACTGTGTAAATTTAAGGATCTCCTACCAGACAAAGGCAAATTAAGAGTGAACACAGGTTTTCTCTTGCTCTGTACTTTATTAGTCTTAAATGCTTTTTTTTTTGGTTAAATTTAAAAAAAGCGCCAAACAAACACCAAATGAATGATCTTAACTCGTCAATGCAGGAAACTTTTTCAAGCAACATGCTCAAAGTCCGAGTCCACAACTGAGCTAGGGTTAGAAACGGGGGGTTACAAGCTTTCCCCCTTTTGCTTAGTCCACCATGCCACACCACCTTCCTTTCACTCTTACCTTTACACACTCTGCTGCAGTAGACAAGCTCTCTTTACTGTCGAATACCTGCTTACTGAAGGCATCTACAAACATCCTCATGGAAGAACGGGCCCACACAACGAAGGCAGAGTAGCAGCCATTGTTGCCAGCGAAGTCCGTTTCAAACTCTCTTGCTGTCTCTAGGAGGCTGGTGAAAAAGACATGGCAGAGTTTGTGGATGTAGAGCAGCGTGGCACCTTCGATGCGCAGCTGTCGGATGGCCGTATGCACAGCAGCCGCACGGTTCTTCAGGAAGAGCTCGCATGCCTTGGTGGACTGGCCCAAGCGAATGAGCTGGGATACAGCCCGGCGGGTGGCCCGTGGCCCTCCTCGCAGCGAGCGGTCCGGAGACAGCTCAAAGACCAGCACATCCGTGAGCTGCCGGACCCGCTCGTCCACCTTGGCCCGCAGCTCCTTCACAGGCTGGCTCACAGGCTTGTCCCCCAGGTACTCGTTAAGTTTATCCAAGAGGTCCACCGCCCCCTCAAAGTCCCGCTGAGCGATGCAGACGTCCAGGTCCTCAGGCAGCTCCTGGATCCACTCAAGGGAGAGGTCGACCATCTCCTCCTCGGCAGGGGGCTCCTCGTCCTCCTCGTCATCCTCCTCGAAGGGGTTAGTAGATTCGGGGGGCGTCGGGGCAGGCCGGGGCAAGGCCTCCTGCTCCAGGCGGCGCTTCTCGCTGAGGGCCCGGTTGCGCTTGGTCTCCTCCAGCCCCTCCCGCCA